TAAATTCTAAAAAAAAAATTAAAACATTTAATATAATAAAAGTTATTTTACTTAATTTTAATTTAAATTAAAATAATTACATTTCTTAGTGTGCGTCGAAATATTTACTAATTTTATATGAGTATACAGAGTGATACATTTATAATGAACGACTTAACTAGTTAAAAAATAAAAATAATACAACATTTTTTTTATTTATTCATATACATGTTTTTTAAATTTATCCCTTATAATTTTAAAGTCGTTAGGGATAAAAATTCAAAATACTTTATGAATTAAAAAAAAAACATGTACCTAAATTAACCATACAAATTTTCTTAATATAATTTTTATTTTTTTACTAATGAAGAGGTTTATGATAAATAAATCATTCTGTATAACCAGCTGGAAAATATTTTTTTTTCAATAGTTTCTATTGGTTAATAGCACGAGCACGAATATGATGCCTGTTAGTTATAAAAAAATAAATATATAAAACTAAAATCATTTGATAGGGAAAGTCGTCATCACCATGGCATAGACATCAGGTAGGGGCGGATTCTTCGTTATCGAATAGTGACTGTCCCGAGTTCTGTTTGCTGTCAAACGGTCTTAGCTTGTTGTTGCAGTTATTCGTTTTTGAATAAAAAAAAATTAACGCATTAAGTGCTATTTTTTACTGTTTTATTGTGTGTGTATTACAGATATAGCCTATTAACTATTTTTTTAAAGTTTCATTGGAACTTTCCAAAGTTAGACGACTAAAAAAGATGGATTATATGAAATTTACCTAGTGATTTCAATAAAATCTCAGATATATTTTTCAAGTAAGAATATTATTATTTCATTTTTCTATTAATAAATTTTTAATTTCTGAATCAGTATCGAGTATTTAAAATTTGAATTCCATAAAAATATTTGAAAATTTACCAAGTTTAATCAAAATAATATAAACAATAGATAATGAATTTTTCTAAAATTTAACTTTCTTATAAATGTAATTTTTTATAATATTAGTTTCAAAAAAATTTAACTTATCGTAAAAGTTTTTATCAAAGTAGTTTTTAAAACATTTTAAAGTAATTTTTTAGTAACATTGATTAGTAATATAAATACTTAACAATAGCTCTATACACATTTATCTTAAAAAATATGTTTTCTTTAAATACGACAAAATCCCATATAGTTTAAATGATTTCATCAAAAACACTATGCATATTTTTTTTATTGAAAATTTGAAATGCATATAATATTAAAAGTATTTTGTTTATCCATTTTTTATTATCTCAATTTATTAAAACAATCATAGTGAATATCATTTTTAAATGCTTAAAAGTACATATGTTTAACTGATATTTTTCTTATGAAACTTGGGTTGTTTTATTTATTGAACTTATTTAATTCGGTTATTAATTCAAATAATTTGCATTACTTTATGGAGTGTTTAGAATTAGTTTAGTACTTCTTTTCATCATAGTGACGACAATGACAAAATCAGATTTAATGACAAAACGCATTTTGTTATTAATGATGATAAACAGGCGCATCTATGGCAACGGGTTACTCCTGTGATGGCCCAAAAAACTAAGCAAACGACTAAATACCACGTAAGCTTTAACTCCTCATTTCAAAGAATCTACATACTAAAATAAAATAATTATTTAACATGTATGGTGACTAAAAAACTTCTACTAGTTTATCATAACTCAAAAACATAAATTGTAAAATTCTACTCAACTAAAATCCTAATGTTAAGACTACAAAAATTGATAACTTGAATATTTTTAAATTGTTATTGATAATTTTGCGTTTCCAAATTTGTTAACATTTTACTATAGAATTCCATAGTCATATAACAATACTGATCTGATCTCATTTTTAAATTTAACTTTGTTGTGTTAAATATAAATTTTTTTTACATTTATTAACTAGTTGAATACTTTCTAATGTAATAGCTGATACTAGAACCTGATACATATTTTCAATGGAGTACACTTGGACATTGTTATCAAATACAGATGATCAGGGACTGGGCAATGAAGCCACCATGCTAAATTGTAGTGCTTCGGAGTCTCATCCTGGTCAAATTTTAATACTGTCTAACGAGTCAAATACGCAAAACATAACAAATCAATCTATTAATGACTTAACAAATTCACTCGACAAAGATTATAGTATGAATAGATTGCAAAATATTGAGTCAAAAAAACATCATACTTTACATAGTAAGTTTTATTGTTGTCTTAATTTTGATTTTTACGTAACAAAATAAATCATATACAAATTGTAATTTACATAGATAGAAGTGATTTCGTCGGAGGCATTGACCACGAAGCTTTAGATTTTAGTAATTTGGCAGATGAGTTTATACAAAATAGTAACCATGAGACGAATCAGTAAGCTTTTTTGCTTTAAATTATTAATAACGTGAACACTTCAAAATTGCAAATAATAAATTGAATTTTTTAGATTTTTTCAGGATCCAATCAATCAAAATGAACAAGTTATGATTAGAATAAATTCACCTTACCAGCAGCAGTCACAAATTTTTTTAAAAAACTCGACAATGCCAACAATTGTTGAAATGCCATTCGATGGAAGTAACGTTTCGTCAAGTACAAGTTTACTTAACAAACTAACAAAAGAACATAAGTCCCATAGTTTTTCTTCTAACAGGTAAATTTGTATACATTTATGCATTTTCTAAACATAAAATCTGATAGTAAGTATTCTAAGACACAGTTTACCCGAAAGCCCGCCGGACTCGGAGCCTCCATATTCACCAGCTGATGGAGTCGGACAACCACCACGTAATTATTATTAATTCATTAGTTAAAAAAAACAATAATAATAGGATATAACATCTAATTATTCGTACTGGTTCAACTATTGGCATATTGATATTATATAACATATAAATAGTATAATTTGTACGACAAAAAGGTGGAAAATTTGTAGGGTTTGAATTTTTCATTTTAATTTATTTTTAATTTCAATAATTATGATGAGAAAAAAAGTTAATTTTTGTTTTTTGATTAATTAAAAAAAAATATTTTTTTAGTAAATTAAAATTTATTTAAAAATGTCATTTATGATTTCAGAAAAATTGAAATTTTTCAAAAATGACTAATAATTCTATAATTTGTACTAATTAATTTTTTACGTATAATCAAATGAATCAACTTGAGGTAGTTAAATATTTATTATCATTTAGGCTGTATAAATTTACAGAACTATTAAAATTTTTACTAGTATTGTTAAAAAATATAATATATTTATTGACTGATCTTTATCAAGTAATATTTTAATACTAAATATTTAATCTTTAATGATAAAATCTGACCCAAGTTTCATCATCATCTCAAGTTGGTCTATTTGAAAGTATTAAAAATATAAAATATTTTATTTTAACTTTATCTTTAGCTAATTCTTACAATAAAATAAAATTTTATTTTAAAGATCGAAAAACGTCAAATGTACAATGTTTGATGTCATCCAATAACAAAACTCAACTTTCTATCAACTCTGGATCAACTCCTGGACTTTATACAAAACAACAAACAGTTGTCAGTAAACTTCCTCATCCTTTGGCAGGACAGCCCCTCTTAATGAGTCATTCAAATCCTTCGTCACAAAACACTAATTTAGGTTTGATAAAGAAATAATTTTTATTCATGAATAAAAAAAAATTCACGATGATAATATTAATATTATGTTGTAATAAATAAGGTTTTGACCACATACCATCGAATATTAGAGATGTTGAAATTCCGGAAGCTGAATACGCAGAAATTATTATAAACGGAAACGATAAAAAACGGAAGCTTTGTACAGACATTGGGAGTTCTATTCGCGTGAAAAAAGAATCTGGTAAGCTCATATTTATTTATTTATTTGTAGTATTATTGATGATTTACACAACTTCTATAAGACTCAAGTTGTAAAAAGACCGCTACACATGTATCGCCTTCCGGTCAATCAGTCTGCAGTGAAGACAGCTATACATACCAAGATAGTTGCGAATCAGGTCTGTACGCTGATAATAGCTTTCAATGTATTCGGTTTCAACCGTTTCAAGAGTCTTCATGGAACACTTTATGTGATCATTCATTGAAAGAATTGTAAATTTAATTTTTACTTATTACATTTATTCGTTCTTAATATATTTATTACTAATTGAAATGTTTTTCTAGACCAATACCACATTACAGAGTAGATGCAGACAAAGGCTTTAATTTTTCTAATATTGATGATGCATTCGTATGTCAGAAAAAAAATCATTTCCAGGTGTGTTCAGAATTAATGTTAATTGATTAGTAAATATTAATTTAAATTTATATGTTTAGATAACTTGTCATACTCAATTACAAGGCGATGCTCAGTTTGTAAGAACTGCTGAAGGTATACACAAAGTAAACAGTTTTCAATTACATTTTTATGGTGTAAAAGTGGAATCACCCGGTCAAAGTATTAAAGTAGAACAGTCCCAAAGTGATAGAAGTAAAAAAGCATTTCATCCTGTTTTGTAAGCTTTTGACTATAATGATTATTTAACAATAATATAATTGAGATAGTGTATTTACATCATGCTAGGTTGGATTTGCGTGACGAGCAGGTATCCAAAATAACAGTGGGGAGATTGCACTTTAGCGAAACAACATGTAATAATATGCGGAAAAAGGGAAAACCCAATCCAGATCAACGATATTTTTATCTAGTTGTTGGCTTACACGCACACTGCATTGATGAACGTGACTATCCGATTGTTTCATACGCATCCGAAAGGATAATTGTCAGGGTAATCCAAGTAATTGAAATATTATAACAATTTTGTGTGTCATTTGTATCGTGACAATAAATTATAGAATTACGAAAACAAATATTTATTATTATTTTCTATTTTTATTTTATTCTGTAAGGCATCAAACCCAGGACAGTTTGAGAATGATGCGGAACTTTGTTGGCAACGTGGTTCCACACCCGAGTCTATTGTTCACACTGGCAAAGTAGGAATAAATACAGATAGACCTGATGAAGCTTTAGTAATTCATGGAAACGTAAAACTAACTGGTCATATAATTCAGCCTTCGGATATAAGAATCAAACAACATATACATACAGTAAAATTTTAATATCCATACAAAATTACATTAATTTATTGATCATATTATAAAGCTAATTTATTTTTTCTAAAAAAATTGAATTAATAAAAATATTTTTTTGTGAATAGTTTAAAAATATAGGCATTTTTATTTTACTTATTATTAGTAAATGTTATTTAATACTGTGTAGCAATTATTTATTTATTAGATTACATTTTATTTAATTTTATTTAGTGTGATACTAGTGAACAACTAAAAAATGTACAGAAGATAAATGTCGTGGAGTTCAGTTATAAACCAGAATTTTCATCAATGTTTGGGTTGTCTGTAAATAAAGACACAGGAATTATTGCTCAAGAAATCCAAGAAGTATTACCCGAAGCCGTGACAAATGCTGGTGGTATTGAGTTGTCCAATGGAGATGTATGCAATGACTTCCTAGTCGTCAATAAGGTATTTTCACGCGATATCATACGACATAAATAAATAAAATAGAAGAAAAAAAATTATTATTTTAGGATCGTATATTCATGGAAAATATCGGTGCCGTTAAAGAGCTGAGTAAAATTACAAGCCATCTAGAAGCTAGAATTTGTAAATTGGAGCAAAAAAACAAGTTAAGATTTTTACCAAAAACTAATTTTAGTCTAAATTCACCAAATATAAAAGGTGAATGTTCTATAACTATTAATTTTATTATATAGATTTTAATAAAAACAAATCTAATGTAATAATATACTATTTTTTGTAGTAAATAAATATTCCTCAAAACTGGATAATAATTTTGAAGGATTTAATAAAACATTAAGCTTGAATGAAATTAGTGCATTTTGTTCCGAAAATTGTATTAAATTCTCCATAATTATTTTGGTCATAATCATGACAAGTTGGTGAGAAAAAAAATGAAAATTCAGTATTAATTACAATGGATTTATAAGCATTTTTTTACAGTATTATATGCATGACAAGTTTATTTTTAACAGAACACTACAATAAGAATCAAATACTCAATAATGAAAATATATTGTAGGTTACTACTGATATATTTTTTTATCATTTTTTAAATTCTACTTAAATTATTTATAATATAGCTTAATTAAATCTCATGGAAAACATACCCAAAAAAACCGTCATTACGGAGAATTACAAAGAACTATTGATGTTCCCAAAGAAATTGACAATTTTTTAGATAAAAATAAGCGAACGAGTTGTCTCATACTAAAAAGTCCTGTAAACAGTTATCAAAATTGCGAGGTATTTATATATTTTTTTATTATTTCAATCAAATTATTGTAAATTTGTTTATTTGAGTAGATTTCCAAAATGAAGACATTAACGTACGAAACTGCATTAAAAAACTTAAATGAAAGGCGGATGATGGGAAATTCTTTAATTAATTTTATTATTACCATTGAGAGAATGTTAGGTATGAGCACTTAATATTTGATTTCTAATCTGTTTTATCAAATAATAAACATTTGTTTTAATACTTAAATACAAACATATAATAGACGTGGTTTATAAAGAAGTTATAATTACTGTATTCTTTAATAACGGCACTAACTACTCAATGGAAGTAGAGAACAGAACAGACACTTGTGGAATTAACAAAATTCAACATTGTGGCGATAAATCTAAGTTAATCTATAGTTTTCAATTGCCAGCGTTTAAAAGTTCAGGAGGATTTTTCATTCATATATCTTACAGGTTATAAAGTTATTTCATTTTATAATTACAAGAAGTTTCAATGAATTAAACAAATAAAATTTTTTTGTTAGTAATAACATGCCTTTTTTCATTTATTTAAAAATTTATTTATCCCTAAATAAAAAAAAAGATTACATGTATTGGTATATATTATATAATATGTGATATTGGTATGTAAAAATGTGTTAGAGAAAATTGAATTAAGTATCTAATTTTTTTTTTCTTTGCTTATAAATATTACTACTTCTAAAAACAAAAATTTTCTTTATTATCATCATTAACTATATTATTTTCACTTTGGTAAAATTAAAACTGTACAAACTTAATCTTATTTTCGTAGTAACAGCCTGTATTATAAATAACATTACACTCCTGATATATATATATATATATGAATCAATAATGTACTTAGCACTAAATCATGTAATTTTACTAGATTCCACATTTTTAAATTTAACCTAATACAAAGCGATTCAATAATATTTATTTTATGAAAAATCAACTTAACAGCATGTTTAATAAACTTTATATCATTAGAAATATAAGTTTATTGAGTTTGACAATTACCAATGAATTTGTTTGGTGACAAGATAGAAATCCTGCGCATAAAGTATTTGGTAATTCAACTTAAAATGTTCAGTTTAAATTTGATTGATCTAACTAGGTACTGATATTTCAATTGCTCAAAGCATTTATCCCCATATGGGAAAAACAATTTTGAATAACTCTACATTTTACTATATTTAAGATATTAACTTATTATTCATACATTTAATTTTAGAATAAACAATAGTAAACTGAACAGTTGTACCTCATCAATGATAGCAAGTTTGTCATGTACGTCAAACCCTCATTCCAGATTGATGACCATAAATGGCACTCATTGGACACCTTCTTCAAATACTCAATTGTGGCCATTAGATAAATTTTATACATTAAAAAGTTCTACAAAACTTGCAATTACTCTACGATATGAACACATAGACAGAGTACAAGTAATTTTAAATATAAATCATTAATTTTTACTTTAATATGAACAATTGTACTTATTTTTTAATTAAAAAAAAAAAAGTAGTATATATTCTTAATAATTGTTATATTATTTAATACAGGCTATTTGTGATTATTCAAATGGTACACAATCTATTGTTGAGTACAATATTTCTTTACACAAGAGTTGTGATGGAATGTAAGGAATTTTAATTTGGAGGTTGCATACAAAAATTTGACTCTTTTAGAGTAATCTTTTATGTTTAATAAAAAAAAAATGAAAGAATAATAGAATTTATTTTTATTTTATAATTAAAACGTACATATTATTCAAAATTCAACAATTTAATTGTTTAAAGTTTATTAACAATTATGTGTCGACATCCCGTACAATATTAAATGTTAAGTATCTTTATATTTTAAAGTTTAATGACTGAAATAGATGACCCTACTTTTTAACCATTTACACGAAATATTTTTAATGTTTATATATAGTCTAGAATAATATAATAAATTGGTTAATTATTTAACACTAAATTCTTTTCTAACACTTCTATAAACACAAAATTATATTCAGGCAGCTAAACTTTCATGTAAAAATTATAGTTCAAATAATATTCATGTTATAATATTATTTTAAAAGGCGAAACATTGTTTATAGTAGTATTATTAATTAAAATAATATAATAATTTTTGAGCAAGAAAAAAATCGTGCTTCATTAATTAGTATTATATTTTAAGTTATTATAAAATTGTGCTTATTGTAGAAAAAAAAATGAATACACTAGATTTTAATTCAATAGTTTTTGTTTATAAATAAAATGTTGTGTCTTAACGTTGTAAATTTTCTATTTATTTTAAAAAATGACTTCAAAACATAGATGTCCATTTATACTTTGTTGTCTAAATTAAAAATATTTTTAAGTTATAGTTTTATTTTTAGATATTAAAGAGGTGGGTAAAAGTGCTCATGCACTCAAATCTGTAAGTCAACTATGCTCACTGCCTTCCAAATTATATTAATTCGTTATCTTCAGATAAGTGTTTTTACTGATATTTGTTTTCCTAACACTATATATGTATAGGATGTCTTACTAGGCCATTGTTATATATACTCAAAGAATCTGTCCCTGGCGAAATTAAGTATTTCTTTGGATTTCAGGTTTTTGCTATCATATTTTTCTGGGATAGTTTTTCCAAAATTTTTAGACTTTAATGTGGTTTGAGTGACACATTCATTCATAATTTGATATAAATCGTCCTCTTCCGTTTCACACTTACTGCACAGTGCTGATTATGTTACCTTCATTATTTAAAGATTTTTAAGCAAATAAATGTATTCTGTGTTTATTTGATGTCTAGTCGAGTTGTTACGATCACTCAGAAGTAGACTGAGAGTCCTGATAAAAATTTTTGATTACCAAAGTACTACAAAGTAACTCCCCATTTATTTGTGTTATTCTCCACGTCAGTTTTTAGGTAGAACTTTGATGGATCACTCCACAAGTCTTAATATTGGATCTGGTCCAACATAAGTATTTTCTGCACCTTTCCTCACTAAGAGATCTGCTTTTAAGATACTAATATAAAAATATGGACTACAATTTACTTTGAAAATAGTTGTCCATTTATACTTTGTTTTCTTAATTAAAATTATGCATGAAGTATAGAATAAAATTATTTTAAATAAAAATTCTAGTAATATTATTTAGTATCTAATACATTATTTTCAATTATATTTTTTAGCTTTAGAAAAAAATAAAAATAAATTATGATGTGATCATGAAGGTGTGACAAAAAAGTTAAATCAAAATCAGCTTTGATCTAAATAACAAAATTTAATTATCTTATTATTGGCAGTTTTTAAATTAAATTTTTTATTTAAATTAATTACTTATAGAACTAGTAAATTTATTTGTATAATCAATTTTTTATATTAAAAATCAACATTATTACTATTTACGTGATAAAATAAAATAAAAATATACCATTGTTCTATTGTTATAAATATTATCAACTGATTTTTATTACTTTTCAGTTAACTTATCCACAAAACATTTTTCAGCTTATTATTTAACTTTAATCCTTGAAAATTTACCACCGATTTAAAATTATATTCATTGAGTTTGTTGTGTCTCTGATACTTCTGATGATTGTTCGGCATAATCAGAAGGTAAAATAACTTTAATTTTGTTCAGTCTTGCTATTACAACATCAATTTGATACTCTAGAGCTTCCATTTTAGTATCCAATAATTTTAATTGATAACTTATTCTAAAATACAATTTAAAAATTAGTCTTACAATAGATTTATTAAGAAAATATGTCATTACTTTTGAATTTCCCCTTCGTCATTGTTACTCTCATCTTCATTTTAATAATTTTCGTATATATAAAGATGAAATAAATATGACCATAAATACAAAACTCATTAACTATGTTTTATCCTTTTTTACCTGAATCAGTGTTAATTTCATAGAATGACTCAATTAAATTATTAAATTTATCACCATCGATTTTAGTATCGTCTTCGATATTGTTTTGTTTTAAAATATATTTTACTTCATTGTCAACATAGTTACAACTAATTCGAGCATAATTTTTGTATATAGTATTTATTTATTTTTCTTTGTAAATTACCGTTTTAAAAGTTTATAAATGTCTTGATAACTGTAGTAGTTCTTAGTTTCATTTTTTGAAGTCATAAATAATTTATCCCAAACATATGCTTTGTTTTGTATTGTTAATTCTCCAATATCCACGTCAAAATATGCATGAAAAACGATAGCTACTAACATTGTCTGAAAGATAAATCAATTAATGATAAATTGATTTTAATGATTGTTCTTTATTAAATAAAAAATAAATACATTTTATTGTATTCAAATAAGCTATTATTTAATTAAATCTCTTTTAAATAAAATGATGTGATGGTAACTTACCAGAAGAACAAAAATCACTACACATGTAAATATTATAAAGAAAACAGTAGTCAAAGTTTGATCGACGTGAGCGATAGAATGGTAGTCAAAATCTCTCACAAGTATTCTCATGACAGATATTAAAGAATCATTTATTGTTGAAAATTCTTCAACCTAATGAAAAAACTTGTTTAATATAAATAATATTTCAATATTACAAATACAGTATAATTTAAATATACTAAATGATCGACTACAGGCTCCTAAAATATCGGTTGGTCCGACTAACTTAGAAAGTAAATAAATTAAGTCCTATAAACTTATTAGTTAAAGATAACAAAAGAAGATTTAACATAACAAAAAATTTTAATACAATTAACAATCAATCTATAATTGGGCGTCCCCACTTACTAAAATACTAAATAATTAAAGTGACATAAAATAAATACAAAGTATAAATTTATAAATATGTTTCATTGTAATAATCTGACCTGAGCATAACTTCAGTACTGAGTATATGATCGCACAGACTAATAATTACTGAGGCATCAACTACCTTTCAAATGTTTGACGGAAACAAATATTGACATGAACCCAAAAATATGTTAAACCACACATCTGGTAAATCCACCGCGTTTATACATGAGTTACGATAGCCATAAATGTCGCAACACAACTTCTGGCGTCACCGAAACGTCTAATCAACTAAACCATACACTAGTCACAAGTCGACAACTACCACCGGTAGGCGAACGGCTTCTCCTCTTCTATATGTAAACAAGTATTTTTTGTTGGAAGTTTAATACAACCACACATAACAAAAAACCTCAACATACTCCCCCTTTGGAAGGGATAGCCCTTACAACTGATCAATGGACGTCAAAAGGTAGGTCTTAATGGTATAATGACAATGAGACTTAATTTTCTGACCGAAATGTCTTCACGGTCAGATATGACATTTATAAATTAAATAGATAAGCAAAACAAATTATTAAATCAACAAAAACAAATTCAAAACAAATCAAGGTAACATAAAGTATCACATCTACAATTACAGGACACAACTAAAATACAATAACGACATGAAATTATTATTTGAGTTCAATAACAGTAGAATAAGAAAAAAATTATTAAATTACAAAATATAACAAAAATCAAATATTAAATATATAAATATACCATTGCATGATTATAACGATTTATATAAATTTAAGGAATAAAAACAACTTAATAACTGGACTAAGAAAATAAAGCATATGTGCTTAGGGAATCATGACGTTAGCAATAGTACCAGCTTCACGATTGGGCAAATAACCGGTCCGTTAATAGTGTGCAATTGGGCTACACCCGCAACTTTAGCTTTGCCTAAAGTAAAACCTGTCACCCTATCTAACCTCCATACTAACAAACTTGTGTTATTTTCCTTTATCACAACCATATCTCCTATCGCAATGTTGGATTGTTCTCTTGTCCACTTTGCCCTTTATTATAAAGTATGTAGGTAGTCCTATACCATAATTTCCAAAAACTCTACTGAAAATTCTTGAGTAATTTCCACTGTTGTACTTGATTTCTAAGGACTCTGGCGTTGAAGAGTATAGGAAGGCTAGGATCAATTAGAAAATGAGCAGTTGTTAGATAGTCTAAATCTTGGGTCACGAGACATAGGGGTTAATAGTCGGGAATTCAGTACGGTTTGAACACGAGTAATTATAGATGTGAATTTTTCATACGTGAGTACATGATTATAGAGCACCCGCGTTATTCATGATTTCATGGATCGAACTGCCACCTCTCAAAGCCCACCTAAGTAGAACGCAGATGAGAGGTTGAATGCCCATAAGTGGATATCGACGCTTCAATTCGATCCCGTGCAATATTAGGTTGATTAATTGAACGTAGGACATTAGCGGCTCCAGTAAAATTTGTATCACAATCTGAATAAATGTCTGTGGGAATATTCTGTCTTCCCGCAAACCGATCTAAGGTAGTGAGAAATGCCTCCGTAGATAAGCTAGATACTAATTTTAAATGAGTGGCTTTGACAGCAAGGTAGACAAGTATTGCCACGTATTCTTTATAAATTCTGGGCTTTCATACAGACGTTTTTTGAAGGAGAAAGGGTTGGCGTTATCAATTCTTACTCGCTGGAACATACAACACTACTGAACGCCATAACTAGGCTGGTCAGAAATCAACGGCTGGGGATTAACGGAGGCTAAAAGATGTGTCCGTTTAGCTACTACACACGGCTGCCACTTGAAGCACGAGTACACGAACAGATATAATCCAAAAATGGCGCACAATAGGCTGACAATAAGTCGGGGTCCAGAATCACAAGTGACGTGGTGACAATGCTGACACAAAAGCATAGCCAAATGACAATCACGGGTGAGCAGAATTGAGTGTTTTTGATGTTCATGAAAGTCGGCATTTTGTAGACACCCTTCTACGCGTACTATCCCGTTGTTATCTATAAGCAATATTAAACGAGAGAATACANAAATAAAGCATATGTGCTTAGGGAATCATGACGTTTTATGAAACATGTCGCTTACTCCTTAACTCGTAAATAAGATTTGAATTTTTTCCGAGGTACATATCAAGTGATGGCAATGAGCGCGTCTCTCAATTCTAGGATAGATAGGAAAACCGAACAGACAGGTTCATAGTGTCTATACCTTAATCAGCGTCATATCCATGCAACAACTTGGAACCTTCTACAATAACTGGAAAACTGTTTGATTTAAGATCCTGAAGAGCCTTCACTCTGTGCAGCCACAACTATTGAAACTTGTCAAACTTCTGGCATTTCGGAGTTTGGGATGACTTTAAAATATTGAACCAGGTGTTAGTAGTTTCGCACAAAAATCCCAACTCGGGTGTAGCTGGTGGATAAGAGCCACACAATTTGTCATAAAAGCCTTGTAAAACACTTGAGCTAACGTCACTCACCGTTAGCTACCGTAGAGTTCTACCAGCCCCATACGTCTGATACAAATACTGTAGGACTGTTGTTTTTCTATTCTGTGAAACCATCTGGCCAACAAAAACATAGCAGGCAACTCCAATTTAAGAATGGTCAAAGTCTTTAAAGGTGCTACTTTCGTCTTGTCGTCCAATAGATGTATAGACATAGTACCATCTGTAGCTAGAAACCGCAAATATACTAATGCAGCATATCCTTTGTTGGACGAATCGCAAAACCCACACAACTGAAATTTTCTGCTAGTCTTAGTAACGATAAAACATGCTATGTGTAACACTAACATTCGTGGTAATTCATCAATAAACTTTGTCCATTTTGTTAGGCAAAGGATCATGCTGCGTGGTGGTAGATCGCCAGATTTATTGTACGAGACACTTATCAGTAAAAATTACTGGAGCTAGCAGACCGAGCAGGTCGAAAATTTGAGCTATGACTAGAAAGTACGCCACGCTTTGTGAAACTGCGAGAGTCTATCAACACATTATAGCCTAAATGGTCATTCACAACATTCTATACTAATACCAGCACTAGCTGGGATTAGTATAAATTAGTCATTCTATAACTAACAACAATTTCTCCGTAAAAATTACAATAATAAATTATTAAATATCAATTTCATACTATATTTAATTGCTATAATAAACTCATATATGACACTTATAAATCATAAAACTTGTAATCAGGGTATAAATAAGGTAATAAGAGTTCATTTAGCTTTTCAAATAATCTATCACTGTTAAATATCATCTATACTTGTCTCACCTATGCCATGTCTACGCTATACCACGACCCAACTGTACTATCGTTTCTAACAATGAAAGACGGACAGGGTCACTGTGTTACTGTGCTATAGCACAGTGCCCTAGTAATCATTGTATCTATGGCTGAAAAGCGGATAGTTAGCCATTTAAGTACTGATAAGGTGTCATAGTCACTATTTAATATATACTTTATGTTTACATATAATATTGTATGAAAAAATTCAAAGATATTTTTTCTTAATACTGCCAGAACTTTTTGGGAAAAAAACGCATCACGACAATTATTTTTTTTTATAAACATATTAGGTATTATCTTTCTTTATATTGGGTATACAATTTTTTTTAATCTGACCATTTACTGGAGATTCAAAATAACAACTTTTGCATAAAAAGTTAAATTTTTTAACTTAACTTTTAAAAATATTCCTGAAATACTCCAAGCTTCAAAAATGTTAAATCAAATCTTATATGTAAAAAAAATTAATTTTCCCAAAGACTTATCATCTATGTACAAATGGGTACCACAGTTTAAAAACATAAAATTTTTGTAATAAAATATTCGATACAAATATTATTTTTTCGACCTTATATTGGTATAACTTTTTGAATAATATATGGATTATTGCTTTTTTTTTTTGTAAGTGGTATATCCATCCCTTATATTCAACATAATTTTTTACTTTTAAATTTCGTATAAAAGGGAGACTACAATGATGGGGATCACAGATTTTCATAAATGTTATGTGAATGAAATTTACATAGAATACTTTGATTGTAATACATTATAAAAAAATAATAAAAAGTCATAAAGTTGTTTTACACAGAGAAATTCTTTTAATATCAGCCACTAAAGTTTTCTTAAAATAATGATTATATTAAGAAAATTAATCTTGATGTTCTTTAGTTTTATATACTTTTCGATTATCAATTAATTAATAATTTTGTGTTGTATCCTTTATTCCTTAAAAGGGTGCTATCTTTATTTTTTAATTGCCACATATTATTTCATTAGCTTATAATAAAAAGTACTCAACTAAGAAAATGACTGGTCGATAGAAATTTAAACCCATTATTTTGAAATGGATAACTATTTTAAAATATCGAATGAAGGTGAAGTGTCTAACGATACGTTATTATTGTTTAAAAACTCTCATCAAAGAGTTCTGTTTTAGCTCATTTTTTATATATTCAAATTGTGGTCACAAAATTAATATCTATTAGTTATAATCTATAACCAAAGCAATTAATACAGGTGTGGTCAAAAGCTAACACCCTCGTAAGATTAAATGTAAAATCATTTCACAAATAAATCTTCTCTATACGCAGTGAATAAAGTTAAAAAGTAAATCATAAAATGAAGACTACTCATTTCTAGAGTTATTACATACTGTCTTTGATATTTCGATTGCTAATTCTGTAAAGACCAATTTTTTAAAGAACGAAAATGAATCATTTATTTCTAAACCAGTCTCTAGCACCAGTCTCTAGCACCAGTCTCTATTAACTGTAGATTATAATAAAATTCCCGTTAGAACTACTAGATCAACTTGAGATATAAAAAATTTTTATTTTGAAGAATATGTACTAAGAACATTAAAAAAATTACGTTTATTCATTAAATTAAATTAATATAAATAAATTGTTCAATATAAAAAAAATTGTCTGAATAGTATTTAATGATTAATCATCAAGTATAGTATTTTCAAAAAGATAATGTATTTTAGCTTACGTTTTATTTCTAAAAAAAGATTTAAGTTTTTAAGATTAGTGAAAAATACATTTGCTACTTATAATAAACGTAAATATTAGCACAAATGCATAGAAAAAAATAATTAAAGTTAAAATGATTCTCATTAAAATATGAATGATCGATATTTTTTGATAATGATATTTTATATTTTTACATTATAAAATTTATAATCAGTTTATAAATAAAAAAAATAGAAGTTCATGTTGCTCTTAAAATAATTTAATAATTTCTTATAAAAATTAAACACTATCTACAGATTTGTGTAGAAGTGTTTTTTATAATAGTGATTTTAATTATTGTCAGGTATCATATATATTTGTTCCAACTATGCCATGTCCTCAGTGTACTGGGTTTTGTTAAATAATGACTTTCTCGTAAAAATGTACAGTTTAAATTTTTATAAATTATTGTAATGATCAACTTTATTGAAAAAAGAAACTATGTCTAAGAGTAGATTTTATAGGTACATTTCAAAAATGAAATGGGAACCTATTTTTTTTTTTCTGTATTACATGGAGGATTGTCTAAATAAAATGTTGACAAGTTAATTAATAATTATTTTGAATTATTACATTTTAAATATTTGCATTGGACGATTTTGAAAAAGTAAGGAACGAGGTAGTATTTATTTTTACCATAAGTATTCTTCTACGTTACGCACCCCAATCACCTATAACTACAAATTATAACAACTCAAAAATTAATAATACAATACTTATTATCGACCTGTAAGAATTTTTTTAGACCATTCTTCATTTAATAGTTAAAAAATAGTAGTAAGTTCCTATTTAACTAGCAACAGTTACTTTAAAATCTATCATTAAAAATAATTCTTCTTACAATAAACTTGATAGTTATAATGGTTTATAAAAAGAAATTAAATTTTAATATATAGGGGGTGTAGTATACTTAATTAACCATGCTGTATATAAAAAAATATGTTCAGTTCTCACCTGTGTTCCAAATGTACAATAACCTAATACGGCAAATGCACATACTACTACCATAATAATAACCATGTACTCAGCTACCACTTGAAAACACTAAATTGAATAAATATGAAGTTAAATGTGTTATATTTGTAAAAAAAATAATATCATTGAATTATTACCCTACTAATATTCAAGTAAATAATTGTCATTGACTTGGTTAAATCGATATACTTAACAATTTTAATTAATGTAGTAAAGAATAATAATGATACTGTCAGCTTTAATGTGTTATGTCTGTACACCAAACTTTCAAAGAAGGTATGGAATTTACCGGATAATATGAACTTTTCTAACTTTGACTGTGATTCGGTACTTATAATTAGTAAAATCATAAAAATACAATTCCAACCAAGCTACCAGGACATTATTAATAGAAATTTTAAATCATAAATTCAAATATTAATAAGTAACACGTACAAGCACTATGCAACCGTCAATCAAATTCCAAAATATTTTGAAGTATCTTAACTTGAAGTACTTCAGTTCTAAAATTTCTTCAATAGAATAATATAGAATAAATAAACACACGATAATTGAACATCCTAATGCAATTATGGAATCACTTATGTAATTATACCGTAACTGTACAGCTCTAATATTATGTGACGGAATAATACCACCTGACGCTGGAAACTCTAATACTAATCTATTAATAAAATAAAAATGATAAGCACAATAAGGTTTTTAAATTTTCATTTTATAGGATAAAAAAAATAAAATAAAATTATAACCACATAGTAACATGATTACTCTTACTTAACGACACATAATGTATGGATATTGCCATTAAATACGGCAAAGTCGACAAAAACTGCTCTTGTACCTCTATCGAGCCATGCATTGAACTCTAAACTATTTATTAAATCTTTAGCATCAGATTTGAGTTTTGGAAAATCAAAATAAAATCCACCTGCCCCATAATACGAAATTTTGCCGTTGTATTTTGATCCTTGAGTTATCACATGATTTGAATATACCCACCTGTGAAATATTTAATATTTCTCCGTTTTCCAAATATTATACTGAAATACTTTTTTTTTATATTAATATAATACAGTTATTAATTAATATTTATTAATAGATAGATCATACTGAGTATCAGTTGCAGGTCCAAAACTGTTTCTATCTTCATATTTGAGACAGTATGGTACATAACATTCTTTAAACAATCCTTTAAACTGGTTTCTTATTTCACAGTGGCCTTCTTCTACTCTGACCTTATGTTTATTTTATGAAGTTTATTTATATAAGAGTTTATTTGACAGTTATAAATTATAATTAGTGGCCTAAATCCAAAAGCTGATATATCATTAAAATAGGTTTTTGAGATGTTTTATTATGCGTATAGATATGGATTTTTTCTTTTCTCGGTCAAAATATTATCATAAAATTTTAACAGAAATGTTTGTATATTGCATTTCAAAAATGTCAATTACCATAAGGCATTATAGAAATTTTAAATTGATTTTTGCTCTCTTGTAATATTTCTAAAACTGACATATCATCTTTTGACCACAGAAATATAGTTTTGATATTGGCACAAATAGCCATTGAAATTAATCTATCTTTAGAATAAACATTAACAATAACTAAAATAAACTTAAAATAAATTATTTATACTTTTATTTTATTTTTATGACTCGGCACTACGAAACCTTTTAAGTTTGGGTCTGTAAGTTAATCCACAATTTTTATTGATAAATCAGTAAAGAAAAAAGTATTATAAAACTATATACTAATTATATATTATTATTTATATGAGGATATCAATATTTATTAAAAATATTAATATTAAACAATTCTCTCTCAAAATAGAAGAGCTCACAACAATTAAAATGTAAGTATATAATTGAGCCAAGTAATTATGAAATGGTGTTTTAAAATACAGTAACAAAATTTATTTTTTTTAAAGTGACAGTTTAAAAAAACCCAGCACATGAGGGTCGCGGCACAGTGATGACGTGACATAATTGGATCAAGTATAATGATATCTGACAGTGATTAAAATCACTATCATAAAAAACGCTTCGATGCAAATCTTTAGATAGTGTTTAATTTTAAAAAATAGGTGGATTATTCCAAAAGCAACATGAGTTCGAATTAATAATATAATATAATAATATAATATAATATAATATAATATAATAATAAAAACTGCTAGTTCGTTATTAATATCCTGATTCAGATAAAGTATATCGAATGAAAAAGGGATTATAAAAATTATTATTTCTCATAAAAAAATTATATTGATCCATACACTTTTCAATAAGTTATAGCATTATAAAGTTAAAAATAAAAAAATAAAATCGAGAATTTTCACACAAAAATAGCATTCGGTAGCCAATTTCACCCTGAAGACAAAATAAAGTACGAAATTTTTTTTTTCATTATAAAGTGCATTTCATTAGCTTTAATTTATGATATATATAAAAGTGTCAGACTTTCCGGAACACTTTCAAAATTTAAGTTAAAAAAGTAAATTTTTTCTGAAAAAGTTGTCATTTTGAATCCCCCCCTTTGGGCAGGTAAAAAGTCAGATTTATAAAAAAATTATACCAAATGATAGTTAAAGACATCATGCATCCATAAAAAAAAGAATTATATTGATCCATACATCTTTCAAAAAGTTATAGCATTATAAAGTTAAAAATATAAAAAAGAATTTTTTTACAAAAATCGTATTTTTTTATCCACTTTGATGTCTGTTTTTACCATGAGGATAAAATAAAGTCCGAAATTTTTTTTTACCATAATAAAGTATATTACATTACCTTTAATTTAATATATATATAAAAGTGTCTGACTTTCCGGAACACTTTCAAAAGTTAAGTTGAAAAAGTTCAACTTTCTACATGCATTTTTAAGATTTAAACCCCCCTTGTATATAGGGAAATAGTACCATTTAAAAAAAAAGTATGTCGAATGAATGATCTATATAAATACTACTTCTCATAAAAAAATTGTAATGATCCATACATTTTTCAAAAAGTTATAGCATAATAAAGTTAAAAATGTAAAATACAAAATCGAAAATTTTCACACAAAAATAGCATTCGGTAGCCATTTTCACCCTGAAGATAAAATAAAGTCCGATATTTTTTTTTTTCATAATAAAGTCTATTACATTAGCTTTAATTTAAGATATATATAAAAGTGTCAGACCTTCCGGAACACTTTCAAAAGTTAAGTTGAAAAAGTTCTACTTTCTATATGCATTTTTAAGTTTTGAATCCCCCCTGTATTTAGGGAAATGGTCCGATTTAAAAAAACAGTATGTCGAATGAAAGATCTATATAAATACTACTTCTCATAAAAAAATTGTAATGATTCATACATTTTTCAAAAAGTTATAGCATAATAAAGTTAAAAATGGAAAATACAAAATCGAAAATTTTCACACAAAAATAGCATTCGGTAGCCATTTTCACCCTGAAGATAAAATAAAGTCCGATATTTTTTTTTTTCATAATAAAGCATATTACATTAGCTTTAATTTAAGATATATATAAAAGTGTCAGACCTTCCGGAACATTTTCAAAATTTAAGTTAAAAAAATTAATTTTTTGTGAAAAAGTTGTCATTTTAAATCCCCTCCTGTGGACAGTTAAAGGATTAGATATAACAAAAAAATATACCAAATGGAAGATAATGATATCATGCATCTATATAAAAATAATTTATATTGATATGTTCATTTTTAAAAAAGTTATGGCTGTTTTTAGTAAAAAAAATTGAAAAAATTTTGAAAATCAGCGATTTTTAAATTTGTAATTTTTTTGGAGTTTTCCCCCATTTACGGGGAACGAGGGATTTTTTTTCAATTTTTGAGGGTAATGTCTTCGATTAGAAACGATTTGTGATCTTTTGACATATCATTGAAAGAAATCGGTTCGGTGAGAGCTGAGAAACAGACAAAAAAAAAAACACATCTTAGTAAAACCAATACCTTCTCAGCTTCGCATCGAAGCTAAAATATTTGGTTTTAATGCATAGAAAAAATGTTCATTTTTTCCCTTTTTTTCAACTTTTAAATCATCTAGGCTAACAACTACCTCAATGAAAATTATAAAGAACAAAAGTATAAAAACATTTAGTATAATTATAATAAGATTATAAGAGTTAAAGATGTACACAGTGCTCAAAATTTAAAGAGACATGTCAATTTTTAAGAATAATAAAACAATAAACTCCTACTTTCTTAATTAATGAACATTCTACATGTTTTTTATACGGACCACTGTAAACAGCGATATTATTTAATAGATTCTTATAAGACACTATTAATGAATATTTTTAAANATTTAATAGATTCTTATAAGACACTATTAATGAATATTTTTAAAATAATATAATTAAAAGAATTATATTTCATGTTAGCAAAAAAACGAATGAATCTATCGAAAGCTTATTTAATACTCGTAATCCTTATTTCTCTACAATAATAACTGCAAAAACAAAACATATTTATTTAAAACATATCTTTTTGTTTTAATTGTAAATAATAAGTTTAGAGAACAAATTTACCTGTCTACATCTTGGCCTATACAGTAATTTGTTCCCAAGAATAGTATCCAATTTTTTATTATAAGACTTATCATCATTATGAGTTTCATATAATCCATTACATAATACATCCTTGAAATACTGAATTATAAAATAAAATAATATTTTCTTAATATAATTTCAATAATAAAAATGGTATTTTTAAAGTTTAATAATTATTAAATGTTACATCATAGTAAAATAAATACTTTTTCACCTTTGTGTCTAAGGTAAAAATATTTTAAATGTAAGATATATGGAATTATAAAGTAAAATGCTAGATTATACTTAAATTAAATCCTGTTTATGAAAATATACACGCTTAATACTTTTAGCACACCTGTATATGAAAAATACAAGTACACGTGAGAGTTGTTACCCATGTATAAGAAAGTTGGGAAAAAATATTCAGTATTACGTACGTTTTAATGTACAATATTTCACAAACGAAATTAATTTTTGTGAACCCCTCCTACTCAAGTAACTAAATTTTTTTTCGGGGACGTTAGTGTAACATTACTCCAGCACCCGTATTTGTAAATTTTAGATTTTAATTGAATTAAATCAGTTAAAAATGTATGTAGTTCACAATTTAATGTGTTCAACCATTAAGAGTGCAATTAAGCAAATTACATTATTTTTGTAGTAATATATAAATCTAGTTACATGTAACATAGACAACACCTTTAAAATTATGCATAATTAGTAACACAACAATTTGGACATAGTTAGTTTTCTTTTTGAAGTTTATATACCATATTTTTTAATTAACCTCACAGTGCGCTTTATATTTGCAACAAGTGAAAAAGTAATTTAAATTTATTTGAGATTTATTTTATGTGTGGGGTACTTTATTAATTATTCATGTTAGCAAACAAATTATTAAACATAAAACCCTTTAGAAAACTTTTACAATTTACAATAAAATTTTAAAAAAATTACGTTTCAATTCCTTCAGTAATTAACCTGAAAAAACTGATTTAAACTAAATAGTTATACGATGAATTTCTGGCAATCTGATTTTGTCTGTCAGGATATTTAATAGTACCCTATACGGTAATGTATATATACAGGGTGTTCAGTAAATAAGGAAACGAATTTCTATTGTACTCATTGTTTGTAACAATTTAACTGTTTCCTAACTTACTGAACACCTTATATATATTACCGTATTAGTTACTACTCAGTATATAACTGCAGAATGATTTATATACCATAACCCGCTCATTTATTAACATAATAAAAATAATATAAACATTTTTTTTTGGTTATATTTAATTATACATTATTCTTGAGTTATTAACTGTATAATACTTTTTAAGTTTATCCATTATGACTTGTAAGAGTGTCAACTATGTTTTTTTAACGAGATCGCATATTTTTTAATTAAATAAAATGTTTCAGCTTTAATTAAATAGTAAATAGCATTTGAATTTTTAATATAACTTATTTCGTTTATTGGATGTTGAATAAATAGATCGTTTGTATTTATACTTGTTAATCGATAGTCATACTCTAATAATTAATTTTGTCATAAAAATTAAATATACAAAATCATTATTTAAAAATCAAGATATTTTGCATTTTTATAAAATTAGCAAGTTAATTTGCCGTTTAAAACCCAGTTTCTGTCGCCTATGGACATTACCAACGTGATAGAACTATTAGATTTACATACCATTACTTATATTTATATAAATTTTATTTTAAATTTAAAGTAATTTAAATATACATTTACGAGGTATGATCAAAAAATACCCGGACTGTGCTAATAATATTTATATCAATTAAAATAATGAAATCCCGATAATTTAATTCGATAAAATAACTTCTAACGAGAATTTGAGCATTGGTTTGAAATCGATAACAATATTTATTTTTATTTTATAGCATTTTTACGAAAACATGTTTCAGTCATGCGTCGATTTTTAAAATGGAAACATTAGAAGAACAACGTGTGTGTGTAAAATTTTGTTTTAAATTAGGGAAAAATTCTAGTGAAACTTTTAAACTTTTGAAGCAAGCTTTTGAAGATGATGTTCTGTCTCGGACAATATGTTTTGAGTGGTTTAAACGGTTTAAGGAAGATAGGTCATCCACTAAGGATAACGTGGTAGACCATCGACCAGTAAAACAAATGAAATTGTTGCTTGTGTTCGTGAAATTATTCTAAATAATCGTCGATTAACTATAAGAGAAGTTGCAGAAGACATCGGAATGTCTTATGGTTCTTGCCAAGAAATATTAACCAAAGAATTGGACATGAGCCGAATCGCAGCCAAATTTGTTCCTCGTCTCTTAACCAATGAACAAAAACAAAACCGAAAGACCATCTCATAAGAACTTCTTGAAAGAGCAGAAACTAACCTAGACTTTTTAAAAAATATTGTAACTGGTGATGAAAATTGGATTTACGGGTATGATGTTGAAACCAAGCGTCAATCACAGTGGAAGTCAACAAATTCCCCTAGACCAAAAAAAGCAAAGCAGGTGAGATCAAATGTGAAAGCCTTGTTAATCACTTTTTTTGATTTTCGTGGTATAGTTCATCGTGAATTGGTGCCTCAAGGACAAACAGTAAATCTGTTTTTTTATTTAGAAGTCATGAAAAGATTACGAGAAAATGTTAGAAAATAAAGTCCAGAAAATTGGAAAAGTGGTTCTTGGATGTTGCATCACGATAACGCCCCGGCTCACAACTCATTGCCCATTCGTCAGTTCTTAGCGAAAAATCTGACTCCAGTAGTTCCACAATCACCATACTCACCCGACCTGGCACCATGTGACTTTTTTTTGTTTCCGAAGTTAAAATCTACGCTCAAAGGACGTCGTTTTCAAACAATTCATGACATAAAACAAAATACGGAAATTGATCTAAAGAACATTCCAATTAGTGCCTACCAGGAAGCTGTGCATTGCTTCCCAGGGAGATTATTTTGAAGGTGACAATGTTTATATAGAATAATATTGAGTTAATTAAGTTTTATTTAAAAAATCCGAGTATTTTTTTATCACACCTCGTATTTGAAATACTTGCCTTCCATAAGTGTTCCATTGTGATTATATCACTAAAATTAATTACAATGTCATCTGGATTCGATACCCTAAATGTTGTACCCAAGAACAATGCAGACATTCCCTTATTGACGGCAAATTGATTATATGAAAACAAGTCAGAAAATGCTGCAGAATTTATTAAGTTAAAAAGTCATTGAATGATTTATTTATTAAATAGACTTACAAAAAAAAAGCAAAATGATGAATACTGCATACATTAACATTTCATACAAAGAAAGTTTTATATACAAATCTCTGTTATTCTGATCAATTGCAATTTGACGGGTGTAAGTAATCTCATCTGCTACCCAAAAAATGTATTAAAATTTTCTGAGCATACTTCATAAATAATTGATTAATTCTTTTAATATATATTATGAAGATTTATTATTAATAATTGCAATTTACTTCTTAAATTATCAGACATTACACTATTTAAGTCTGTATTTTCCAATTCTCTGGTATACTCTGGTTTTCTTATTATAGAGAACATGACTGCCAATACATGTAATGCAATATTATGCGTATAATTTATTTTATTTTATGGAAATAATAATTTTAACTTTATAAAAATATTTATGAATGTAGTAACTGTTGTTATATGGTTTCATACTTATCAATGAACTATTTATTTTTTACTAGGGAAAAAATAAAAATTTTCTTTAATTTAAACAATTTAAAACTTGACAAATTCAATATAAATTTTATTTTTAATTTACTATTTTGCACAAACGAGAATAATATACGACGAAAAAATGTTACTAAGAACATTAAATCTCATCAAAGTATTAAAACATAACTATCAAAGATTATGTAAAATTATATGGCTACAAATAATATGAAATCAAATTTTACAGGAATATCAAAAAATATATATAAAATCGTATTTTAATAAAATTTTAATTCTAAAATTTACATAGCTATTTTAATTATCACTAACAAACTCACATACAAGAAATATTTTTCCAGTACTTATTTAAACACTTCATTAAATTATAAGCCAAATAGTACATGTTTCTCAAAACATCAAAATTATTAAAGAGGAAAAATTTCATTCAATTGTTGTGAGTCATATTTATTTAAGTGACTTTTATCAACTTCAAATTCTATGACTATTTTCTAAATAGTAATATAATTTTAACAACTTTTCATACTTCTAAAATTGTCAAAATGTTTAAATACATATTCAAAATTTCAATGGTGCCTAATGAAAATTGAATTATTTGAAGTGCAAAAATTCATTTTTCATATGAGATAGAAAACTTCTCTCTCTATACATGTCATCACTCGTAATATTATTATTGAAAATAATTCAAAAAATTAATTATTTTAGTATTTTGACTTTTATTTTACCTTCATTCTTATTTTGAAGATCAAAATATGTTAGCACTGAAAGCATTCAAAATAATACAAAATTCAAGACACCTAAAGTAGTAGTTATTGGTGGCGGTTTTTCTGGTTTGAGTGCAACGAAACACCTTATTTGCAATGGCATAAAAGATGTTACAATATTGTAAGCAAAAAATCGGTTAGTAATTTAGTATAAGCACTTATGTAGTTAAAAAAATATCAGTATTCACTAGTATATATATATATATATATATATATATATACATCAAAAGTTAAGAATATTTAAATTTTACAATGCTTTTACAGTTTGAATAGTTAAGAAATGTGATTTATGTTCTTGTGAAAAATCAATTAGATTGTATTAATTATATAAAATAACATTTATCTAAGCTACCTAAATAAATGTTTCATGTATTATGCTGCTCTATTATCTATGCTTACATGTTTCGTAACGTAAGTACCGAAATTCGATTCCATTTCGCTGGGCTATTTAGGTTTCTCGCCTATTCTAACTTAAGTATTGATATTTAAAGAGGACATTAATGATAAATATTAGTATTCATCAATGAATAATATATTCCAAATATTACAATATTTTATTTGTAAAAAGTTAAAAGTCTTAATTATTTTATGTTAAATTTTTATTATAATATTATTGTAACTATATAGTTATTTTTTAAATGTTTAGAGTAGGTGGACGATTAAAATCTAAGTGGATAACAGATACAATTGTAGAACTTGGTGCGAGAAAGAACAATTTTCAATGTGCAGAACAAAGTACAGCAACATCTTTTGTTTATTTAAATAACAGATTTAATTGGCTAGAAAATGAATACTTGAAAAATATTATGACTTTAAATGATTTGGAAGGGATGTCAACGGTTAGTATTGTAAGAACTATGGAAGCTGTCGATAATACACTGAAATCAATTGATACTATTAGATCATTGAACGAAAATAAAACATATGGAAATATGGCTACAGTTGCAGGAGTTCGGTTAAAAAATATTATTCAAAGTTTTCCATTAAATGACAGAATTAACGTTGCTAAACTGTTTACGGGCGTAGTAAATGCATACTTAAACGGTAAAGCCATACCAAAATACTACACAAACGAAGTTGATCTTTTTACAGAAATAGATGATAGTAATATACGAGTACCTGTTGGTTTTCAAGGCTCAATTGTTCCATACTTTGATTATATTCAACCGGAAAACGTTCTACTAGAATCACCAGTTTCTAAAATAGTTTGGGGATGCACTGGTACTAACGACCCTAACGCTGTTGTTAAAACACAATTCGGAAAAGAATATACTGCAGACTATTTTATTTTAGCTATACCATTAGGCGTTCTTAAAGCTAAAGTTCATGATATGTTTATACCATCATTAAGTAGAGAAAAACTGGCAGCTATCGAAAAGCTAGATAACTTACACGTAAATAAGGTTTATTTTTCTTACAATGTGCCTTTATACAGTTGGTATGAAAATGAATTGTTTAATATGGAATCATTAGGTTGGGCTCGAGATGTAAAAACCATCCAAAAAGTACCTGGAAGTGATTACGTATTAGAAGCAACTGTGGTAGGCCAAGGAGCAAAATTTATGGAAGACTTAACTGATGAACAAGTTATGAATGTAATGAACGATTTTGTAGCCGAAGGACACCCTAATTTAAAAGGATCTTTACCGTCTATAATACAAATGGTTCGATCAAATTGGTCATCTGATCAATTTTTTTATGGTGGTATGGTTGAATCAAATATCGAGATCCAAAGAGAAATTTTAAAGGCAGAACCCGCCACTGAAGAAATAAGATCAATATTATATTTTGCCGGTGATTATACATGTCCTGGTTTATCATCAAGTGTTAAATCTGCTAAAATCAGTGGTGTCAGAGAAGCAGAAAATATTTTAAAATACACTAAGCAAACTAACCAAACTAAACATAAACATTAAATTCATAAAGTAAAACAATAATTATAAAATTTCTAATTAATAAAAAAAAATTGAACCAATTAACCAATATCACTGTCCCATAGATTAATGTTTTATACTAAACAAATCGTCTTTATACTTCCATTTATATCATACTAAGGGCTGTAAATTATATGCATTTATAAATTTTGTTTAAGCTACTTTTAAGGGTCTCAACTTTGTCGTTGGATTATATAGGAACGCAGAAATATTTGTCGTTTTATAAGAATTAACTCAACACCAAACTATAAAATAGGAAAAACACATTAATAAGTTTTCAAATCAATTAATAAAGTTTTTAATGACCGATGTGTGTAGTCGGATTAATTGAACACAATTTATAAATACATATAATAATCAACATAAAATGTTGTATTGTAAAAACTATTGTATATTATTGTATCGCAGAAAGACTAAATATTATATAATTTTTTAACAATAGGCATCTGAAAATTAAAAAATCAAATTTTTAAGTTTCTTATATATAGCGAACACTATATTTATTATAACTCAGTGCATTTAAATAGAGAACTACCGTTAAATTTTAGTGATATAATTGTATTGTTGTATTGTTCATATATTACATTATTTTTTCAACAAAAATTAAGAGCTGGTCTTTTGTCTATATAAAAATTAATTTTTCAAAACTCGAATTCTTAAAAGTGAATTAGAAAAAGATTTTTTAATATATAAATTTATCAATATTTTAATTTCCATACATTATTTAAACATTAATTATATAGTTGCTTATTTTCGTTGTAGCTACAGTGAATTTGTAGAAGCTCGTATGGAATTTAAACTAGCTATAATATAGTTAATTTGGTCATTAACTAAATCCATATTTTTATTCAAAAATTTTACTCTATTATTCAACCTAAAAAATATTCAATATAAGAAATCATATACAGTGATTGTAATTACTATTTATTTTACCTTTCGATTTCTTCTAAATCATTCTTGTCTATTTTTTCTGTTGATAAAAATTATTATTTTTTTATTATTCTAAAAATTATAGGAAATTTTTTATGTATACCTATTGAATTAGACATCATTTCCAGTTTTTGTAATAATTTCTTAACTTTTTCTGGTTTAATTGTTTCCTGTGGCTGAATATTGTTTTGTTTGATGATATTTTCAATTTCTGAATCAACATAATTGCAACTGTAAAATTTAAAAATATTGAATTGATTTAAATTATTGCTACAATTTATATTAACCGTTTTAGTATTTTGTAAAAGTCTTGGTAGCTAATTTCATTTAACTCGTCCTCTGCCTTGTAATGTGTATGTCCATTTTCTAATTTAATAAGATCCAGTTTTCTCAAAATTGGTTCAGTATACAAAGATAACTTGTCAAGAACATATATTTTCCGTTTTCCAATCATTTCTTCAATATCCACATCAAAATAAGCGTGGAAAACTATTGCCATTAGCATAGTCTAAAAAAATTAGTTTTAATTGTATAACCCTGGCAAATGATTATAGAATTTATCAAAAATATCTTAAGAAATTTAGTTTTTGCACTAAAAAATGTTTTGTTCTTACTAAAAGTACAAAAATTACAATACAAGTGAATGTTATAAAAAAAAATGTGGTCAATCCTTGTTTGATGTGTGCAACAGAATGATAGTCAAAATCTCTCATAAGAATCCGCAACGCAGACATTAAAGAATCACTTATTGTAGAAAATCCTTCAACCTAATAGAAAAATAATTTTATATTTGAAATATAAGTTCAACATAAAATTTATATTTTTTTAACGTGCCTGAGCACCAAATGCACAGTATCCCAGAACGGCAAATGCAATAATAATTAATGTAATAACAACCATATAACCTAAAACAACTTTGAAACACTAAAAATCATATATTTCTAATTATCAAGTACACCTTTTAACTTAAAGGTTTACTTTACCCTTCCAATGCTCAAATATATAATAGTCATTGATTTTGTCCAATCGGTATATTTTACTAGTTTAATACAAACAACAAAAAATAGGAAGGATGTAAACAAATTCAAATAAGAGTGTCTGTCAGTTAAAATTTGAAGAAATTTTTGACCTTTGCCAGACATTATGATTTTTTCAAGTTTAAATCCTGGCTCGTATTGTATCATTAACATAGTTATTATGAAACATCCCCATCCAAGCTATAGTATATATAACACGAGATAAGACATTTTGTTTAAAAGAAGTTTAAAAATAGTAATTTACAACAATTATAATAAAGTCCGTTATATTCCAAAATATTGTAAAATATCGAAATTTAAAATACAGCAACTCCATAATTTCTTCATAAGTATAATATATTAAAAAACAAAAAATGCATATTGAAATGATCAAAGCTGGTGTTGAATCATTAATATAATAGTAGCGAATCTTGGAAGATCGAATTGTTGATGATGGTACAATACCGCCCCATGCTGGAAATTCTAAAATAAGTCTAAAACACATAAAAATCTAAACTTAAATAAATAATTGACTAGATTTTACGTGTTTGGTTAATAAATTCATTATTCATAATAAATTAAATATAAGCCTATATAAAATATTAAATACAAGTATTGTAGTAGTCTAGATAAAAATTATATTATTTCTCAATTTAAAAAGATAAATTTATGAATAACTCATCGTTATTATCGTTTAGTATATTTAATATTTAAAAAAAATATTATTTTATGATTTTTTATGTTACAAATCAAAACTCTACATGATCCTTAATCTTGATACGCAACCGTGTCCTTATAACACTAGATAGATCTCAAAATGCCTAGAAAATTTACCAGTCATTACATTTTGATGACTTCTGGTGCAGCCCACCCGTTCATCAAATTTTAAGATCTTCAATTAGTTTATTACAATTTTTTTATCACTCAGTCCAACCTGGTCTATTTTTAAAAGAATAAGCTCTTACAATGATTTAAACCATTCACGCCTCAGTTTCATATGGTCTTATTCTAATAAGGTCCATTTCAATCATAATTTACACGTAATTTTTTTTCGGTTAAACATTATAGCACAATAATATATAAATTACTATGCTATGATGAAATATATCAAGATGAAATATTTCCAATAACTTAAGTACAATTCTTATTGTAACCGATTCTTATAACGGATTGAGTTTATGGTGGTTAAGTTAATTAATTACTTAACAACACAAAGTGTATCAGTGTTCCCATTATAAGCAGCAAAATCAATAAAAATTGCTCTTGTTGCTCTATCAAGCCATGTATTCATTTTTAGACCATCTATTAATTGCTTAGCATCTTCTTTTCTTTCGGGAAAATCAAAGTAATAACCACCCGGTCCATAATAAGATATTTTCCCACTATAAAATGTTCCCTGAGTTCGAGTTTCGCCTGAATACAACCATCTGAAAAATTATAGGTTATTGTTATTAATTATAGTTTATAATTAGTAAATATTTGTAATATTTACAATTATCACAAATAATATTTAGTATATGAGACATCCAGAGCTGAAAAAAACTAAGTGTCATTATTAATATTTTATTTAACATACTATATTCTTTTTAACACTAGGTGCCTCATATAAAATTCAGTAATAAGTTATAAAGACAAAAAATAGTTTTAATTCAGATAATAATTTACGAAATTTTTAAACGTTCGAAACTCTTTTTAAATAATAAACCGCACTTTAAGTGACCCTTTCTTACTGCGAATCGTTTGCGGGACCAAAGCTTCGTTTTTCTTCATATTCTGTATCAAATGGCACGTAACATTCTTTAAATAATCCTTTAAATTGATTTCGTATCTCACAATGTCCCTCTTCTACTCTGACCTATTTGACAAAGCTAATATTATTTTTGGCTGTTAATTTATTATATATCTAAAGTCATGAAGTAATGCTAATGAGCAGTTTCTTAAATTAAACCATTATCTTTATATAAATTCTTAGATAACTTGTGCTTATTGTAAAACTATAAGTAATTTACAAATCGAACAAATTAATAATAAAAAAATTTAAATAATCAACACCTATTTCTATCATGGTATTAAATATAGCTTGGTTTAAAAGCACCTCCACTGATAAATAAATAAAATATTATAATACTAGGTTCTGATTTACCATTGCAATTTAAAATATTTAGCATCTACTAAATGAGGGCTCGAAAACAAATAAAACTAGACTTATAAAAAAAAAATTAACTTATTGGAAATATATATATTTTTTAAATGGACCCAATACAAATATGCCAAATATTCTTCAATAAATATCTTCTTTTTTTTCCTCGCCTTAATCCCAACTACTTGGGGTCGGCCACCGTTATTGTAAACTTCCACTTGACACGATCTCCCATATCATCTACGCTCACATCAGCTGTCCTCAAATCGCATTCAATAGCATCCCTCCCTTTTGGTCTTCCTATACCTCTTCTTCCTTCAAAATTCATTTCTATAACTGTTCTTACAGCTTCCCATTCTTCTCTCATCATAACATGACCAAACCATCTAAGTCTATTTTCTCTCATCTCAACCATGATTGACGCTACACCTATACTCCCTCTTATATGCTCGTTCCTTATTCTATCTTTTTTAGTCACTCCACTCATCCATCTAAGCATTCTCATCTCTGCTACACTCATTCCCTGCTCTACTTTCTTATCAACCGACCCACATTCTGAACTATACATCATAGCTGGCCTCACTACAGTCTTGTAGAATTTACCTTTCAGCCTTATTGGAATTCTTTTATCGCAGAAGACGCCAGACGCTTCTTTCCACTTCAACCACCCGCAATTAATCCTATGTCTTACATCCTCGTTAATACCACCGCTCTTTTACACAAATAACCCTAAATACTTAAAACTTTCCAGCTCTCCAATCACGTCCTCGCCTATTATCACTGGTTTCCTTATTTCACCTAACTCGTACTTTATATACTCTGTCTTACGCCTACTTATTCTTAAACCCTTTTCTTCTAGAGCTGATGTCCACACCTATAGCCTTTAATTAATTTCCTCCCTATTGTGTCCTATTAACACTATAGTTCTTCAATAAATATGACAGTGATAATTTATAAGATTTTTAAAGTTATATAACCCAATCCATTTACTTTCAAAAAAGTTTCACTCTATTAATTTATTAAATAATTATTTTAGAAAAAAAATAAATGGTATCACATAAAATTAGTTACTTATCTTTTATAAAAATATAAAACCTTACCTGTCGAACTCTTGGTTTGAAAAGCAATTTATTTCTATATATAATTTCTGAATTTGTAACATTTAACATATTACTGTTGTCAAGTCCATACAGTTTATTACACAACACTTCGTAGAAGTACTAAAAACCGTTTTTCAATTAATTTCAGCGAGTATTTTACTAACTTAGATTACATCATAAATGCAAATTGAAAATGTTTCACTGTTAAATAATTAATTAGTTGTTTTCATCAAGGTTTTACTAGGGTTATTGCCCGTACNAGAAGCAATTTTTTCAGATCATGAATAATGAAACTTTTAAAAACGTCAACAAAATGTTGCGAATTTTGGCAGTGTTACCTGTGACAACAGCAACTCCAGAACGCTCATTTTCGACTTTACGACGGATTAAGGATTATCTTAGAAACACGATGGTACAGGAGCGTCTCAACGGCCTTGCGTCTTTGAACATCCACCATCACATTAATATAACTGAAGAGGAAATTCTCAGAAAATTTTTCGAAAAACCTCGAAAATTTAAGAGTGCTTGAAAAAACATGTTACATCCTTCATCATCTATCGATTTTTCAAAAAAATATTTTATAATCACTCGAAATTTTGAATTACAATACTAACAATTATTTTTATTATGAAATAAATTGAATTTGGAAGAAAAAATTTTTTTTAGCTTGAGTCATCTAGAATTTTAGCATGAAATGTAAAAACATTATTCCCATGGGGGGGGTCCGGACCCGAAAACCCCCCCCCGTGGATCCGCCACTGAATAATATATATAATATATAAATATATTGTATTATATTAGGAAAACTAACCTTCCATAAATGTTCCATAGTAATTATATCATGAAATTTAATAGAAATACCATCAGCTGTTGTAACTTCAAAACTACTATCCAAAAACAAAGAAGATATTTCTTGGTTGAGAGCAAAAACATCGTAAGTATACATATCGCAACATGCTATAAATAATAAATAATAATAAATTGTTATCTAAGAATTATAAGTTTATATTTATAAAACAAACAAATGCAAAATAGTATGAAGAATAGTCCGTATATGCACATTTCATGTATTGAAAGTTGAACATACAGCTCTCTGTTATTCAAATCTGTTGCAATTTGGCGAGTTAAAACTACAACAAAATAACAACAAGAAATGATTAAAATTTTCGTAAGAATACTTTTATACTTTTAACATACACATTTCTTTTAAACAAAAGCAGTGTAATGTTTTCATAACTGTCGATAAAATTTTCTGTACGAATTATATTTAATATAACATTTTCATGGAAATTTTACCTTACATTCCATTACGTAAAAAAACTTCTATTACATTTATGTAAAAATGAAACATTTTTTAAAGAATGTAATAATTATATTAAATATTGTTGGAATAAACTGTGTATTGAAACGAACACCTTAAGTTAGGTTCGGTTCAAATGTCAAACTTAAACAGACAAATTTTTTAAACCAAATTTAAGGCATAATATTAATAATATTTAGTTTGAATGAATTATGTAAGAATGAGTATAGTTTAAACTTATATTATTATTTTTAGTTAATGTTATAATTTTTTATAACATTATATACTCTAAGACTTCAGAAATTTTATTTAAAGCATATAAAAATAATAATAATAATAATAATAAACATTTATTTGGCACATAATTATATAAATTAAGAATTCATATCGTATCATTACAACTCTTAATATCTTTTAGTTGCAACACGAATGATAAAAAAAGGCATGTATTCAATAAAGATTTTCTGATTTTTTCTTCTATCAATGTTCCATGATAATTGTTAATTAACTTAAATTATGTGAACAACTATAATTTTATAATTTAATACAGTTCTAATAATTTTTCTTTCTAAGTCTCCTTCTCAATTATTTTATTAGCACTTTACTTTAATATCCTAGCATCCGAGTCAGTTAGTACTGGTTTGTACAGCTTGTTTGGTATAAACTTGCGTAAAACCTATCCACTGTAAGTATTAAAATTCTTATAACTCAATAAGTATTTAAATTAAAATTGTTGTCATTTGTTGTTCTTAAAAATTTTTGTAAGAAAAGTGATAAAAACGACAATTTTTATATGTTAAAAAAAATGTAAAGATTTTATTTTTTCTTTATTAAAAACCGATAATAAATAATTATTTTAATATCATTTAAGAATGCTTAAATAGTTTTTTTTTAATTCAGCGAAATATTAATTATCTTAAATGTTATGAAAATTGTCAATTAGATCTGTTCCACTCTGTATGCATATTTATGCTTATAAAATAAAATACTTAGTTCTATTTAATATTATGTAAAAGTAAATTGTACTTTATAAATTATTTATGCTAATGCCTCTTTAATTAAATAAATAATAAAATAATTTAACATCACATTATTTTATAATCTATAATATTATTAGTTGTAAATAATAAAAGTAAAATATTTAAATATTCTACACACTTTAAAGTTATACATTTGAATTCTCAACAAAATGTCTTATAGTTTTTTTATGGTCATAATATAATTTTATATCTTAATTTATTTGACTTCCAAAACTTATAATTTTTTAACTTTACATAACTAATACAATTTATATTTCATAGAATTATACAAATTAGATATCTTTAAACTATACATCATATATTAAATACACAAAATATCATTGTATTATTTAAAACTAAGTTTTACTATATAGAAAATAAGGTAAACATAAATTTGAATAATTAATATCCTCAAACCGCTACCTGTGCCTCAATCTCAAATACAGTAAAATCAGTCGTACATTTAGGTATTTCAATATAAGACATTGGTACTGCCGGCTCTCCATTTTGATCATTGAATTTTGACTTATGTCTTTTGGTAGACTTATGGTGTCTACTGCTTCTAACAGACATAATTTTAAATCATGAAATATTAAATTGCTAAACGTAAAATAATATTTTATCT